CCACGCGGTTTAATCGGGCGCGGCTTAGTCGAGCGCGGTTTTGACGGGTCACGAAGTAATACTACTACAGCCATCCTACATGGGTAAACATAAATGGATGTTAGACAGCAGCGTGAGAATTACAGAAGTCAGAATCGGCCGGATGATGGCACGAGGGAAGGAATTGTGTTTCTTTACTTTTTAACGTTGACTTTTTTTTCTCTTCAACGTCTTCCGTTCATCTCCAGAAAACACAAAGCATCTCTTGGCCCACGAAACCAACCACAATTCTCGGGAAGAAAAGCAACAAGGAGAACTCAAGAAGAGGGGGAAGCCTGCCCAACGGAAGGGAGCTGCCCCTGAGGAGGGGGAAGAGCTCGTTGGCGAAAAGAAAGATGAAGAGGAGGAGGAGGAAGAAGAAGAAGAAGAGAAGGAGATGATTAAGAAGGAAGAGAAATCTAACAACCCAAAGGAGGAAGCCGAGGTCTCCCGAGAGGAAGATCTTCCAGATGCTTTGAAGGGACGGGATGAAGAGGAGGAAGAGGAGGAGGAGGAGGAAGAGGAGGGAGAAATAAAGAAGAAGGCTTCCTCGGAGACGTGGCACTCCAAAGAGTATTTCGGCCACGTCAAAGAAAGAGGTTCCAGGCCGCCCAAAATCAGAAAGGGAATGCGTGAGGGAGACGAAGAGAGGCAGGAGATGGGCAAGAAACGCCCGAGGATGGATGAGGAAGACGGGGAGGACACCTCAGAAGAAGAGGAGAAGAAGAAATACCATCCTGGAGGAGACAACGATGAGGAGAAGTGGGAAGGAGAAGAAGGGAGGATGGCCAAGAGGGTGGCGGAGAAGGCCAGCGACGAGGAGACGGCTCAGTTTGAAGAGGAGGAGCAAGAGAAGGGTCTTAAAAGCTCCAAGGCCAAGGCCCACCTCCACAAAGGGTGGAGGCCATGGCAGGAAGGAGCGGAGGAGAAGACCCACCACAAGGTGAGACACGCCCACCACCATCCATCCCTTGACTTGGACCTCAAGAAGAGGTATGAGAAGGATCGGGTGGATCTGAGGGGCAGACACCACACCACCCCTGAGGAGGAGGAAGAGGAGGAGGAGGAGGAAGAAAAGTTCGCCAGGCAGAGGAAGGTTGGTATCAAGGAAGGAGGAGCTGGGAGCTGGTTTGATTTTTATTTTTTAAAAGCTTCAAATTCAGTTTTGATGGCGTCTGCTTTAAAAAAAGAAGAAGGGGGAATAAAATAGAAAAATAAAAGGAGTTGGGAAGATCCAGGAGGAAGTGAAGATTTAGGCTTCCAAACAGTGTTTTTCCGAAATATGGATCCTTTAGGATAGGGTGATTTTAGAACTTGTGGACTTCAACTCCCAGAATTCCCCATTCTGGGAGTTGAAGTCCACACATAAGTTCATTAGCATGATAGCCAGGGAATTCTGGGAGTTGAAGTCCACTCATAAGTTCATTAGCATGATAGCCAGGGAATTCTGGGAGTTGAAGTCCACTCATCCTTTCATTAGCATGATAGCCAGGGAATTCTGGGAGTTGGAAGTCCACTCATAAGTTCATTAGCATGATAGCCAGGGAATTCTGGGAGTTGAAGTCCACTCATAAGTTCATTAGCATGATAGCCAGGGAATTCTGGGAGTTGGAAGTCCAGAAGTTGTA